TAAATTGGGAGCGGCTAGCTCGCATTCCAATTTCTACCGTGTCTTTCACCGAAAACACCATTTACGGTGATAGTGTATTTCTGTTCAAGTTGGCAACTGTTATTGCGCTTTGCATCGTACACAAACATCTTGTGAAATTACGTTCTCGATTTCAGTTACTCCGAAGTATTGCATACGTTCGCATTCCGTTTTTTGTTGCTCGTTCTGACGGCGTCTTTTTCATTTTGTATTTTGTATCAATGAAAGCATGCATAAAAGATCTAACAGTTGAATTCAACTTTTAAATAAGCATGTAATTGTTTATTATTATATAATAATGATAATAAACGAGAAAGAAAGTACAAGTCATGTTCCAAGACAATTTCATATATATATAAAAGTAGCAAGTTGTTATTTTAAAAAATCCTCGCGTGCTAGCTTTTATGTTACGTGTTATTCCGACACATCCTGTATAATTCAAATTCAATACTAACTACGCGTTACAAATGTAAATATGTATGCAACGATCCTTTTGTAAGATTTATTTATTTAATGCTAGTGTTATAAAGCGCCGACGAAATATTTTGAAATAATTTTGAAACGGAAACATCACTGATCGTTAAATGTGAAGAATGTCACGAGTTACACAGAGGAGGCAAAGAATAGATAGAAGAAAATAAAATTGCACCAAGATATTACATGAAGATGAAACTATGGTGTGAAAACCACACTCCAGCAATTGAGACGTAAAAATATGATCGTTGATCACGTAATAATATCATGAGGTTCAGATTTTTCGATTTCGATACGATTTGGTGCAGCGAACATATGCAACGTCGCTTCGCTTGTTGCTCCAAACGCAATTAAACTGAAATTCTAATTTTTTTGTTAACGAACACAGAGTACAGCCTGTACAATTACTCATTTCGAGAAACATTGATTGCACCCTTGTGCTCCCGCTGTGATTAATGGAACGCGATCGTGGAAGAGGAACGGGGGAAAAAGGGCTAAATACAATTTCATACGTCACTCGCCGCGAGAAGATAACGAGCTTCGCTTGGGAATTTATCCCCAGGTACCGATCACCAAGACGTAACGTCCACGCCTTTTTGTCGTCCTCTCGTTAACGTTAACGAATGATGCTCCGGAATTAGCTTACTCCGATTTTTATTTCCGCATTCTGCCACTCTCACTGTCTCTCGGATATGGTAAAGAAATTTGGGAATTTTTCGTACACGAATCGTACGCCTCGCAATGATTTGAAATTAACAAAACTAAAAAACTGATTCGAAACTACAGATTCAAAATAATGATTAAAAGGTGTGTTTAAAAGTTAAAATTACATACGTAGAAAAATGTGATCGTGAAAGTTTCTTAAATCAATTTTTCCATCAAATTTCGTAAATAAAAAGAGCGATTACCAGAAGGTATTACACGTTTAGTATTTAGCTTTAATTTTAATTGTCTTAAAAATTACAAAATATCGTCTAATTTTATTTATCTATATTTTTCTCCTAAAAATCTTTCCTTCTGATTTCTATTTTGTATGTATCTTACATAATTATCATTGAAACGTAAATAAACTTAAAACAATTGAATTTCTCGTACATGTAAGTAATTCCACATGAATCTATGTGTATACAAACGCAAGGAAATGTTGAATGTAGTAAGGACAGTATCTCAAATACACTACAGATGAAGACATAGCTTGTAATTATCATATTTCTTTAATGTATTTTTAGATTTTCCTGTTTTGTCACGCAAGATTGTCTAAGGGGTTGAATTTAGTTCTACGTTGAAGGACTGCGAATAAAAAAAAAAAAAGGATAGTAAAGCAATAAATGTGTTAATCAAGCAAATGAAAATGAAAGTTGACATGAAATATGACATTCCGTGGATAAATATTACTTTGTACACGAAACGAGTTCATTATCTACAGATGTATTACGAAAATCTTTCAACATACTTTGTACAGTTAGTTTTGATTCCGAACGTAACTCTCGTTAAAAATGAATAATTTTTGAGAAAAATTGATCTTGTTAAAAATTTTTATCTCGATCGATTTCGAATTAATTTCTTTGTTTAATCTGGATGATAATTATTAGTATTATTATTCTATATATGATTATTATTATATATTAATCATCGAGACAAATAATGAACGCACAAAGTAAAAAGAAAAGAAAAAGAAAGAGAGAAACGAACTGGTAATGATTAAATTGTAAGTAATTTCAACAACAGGAGTCTGTACTTCACAATAGATCCACTCTATCCGAAATCTCATTAACTATTCCTTATTAACTATTGCTATACCCAAACCGAACCAGACTGTCTTTTCTTTCATTTGTGTCGAACTTAATGGCAACAGATGAGAAAGTCGAGACGTATAATCTGAGTTCTAATCGACCATTCTCACAGCACACTGATCGACGAATATTAAATCAGAGACAAACTGTCCAATGGTTATTTGGTGGTCACCCTTGTAAGTGTTTCAACGTGTAATCAACATTCTTCTATGATGTTTTCCTTTGAACGCAATGGTTTTTTTTAGCTGGAACTACTTCTCCTAGAAGCCTATTTTCTCAATTACCGGTTCCGCCCGTTTCATTTCGTATTCCGGAAAAAATGATTTTCGCTTCAAATGCAAGTCGATTCGACTTTATCAAGTGTGGGGTGCACCAGAGTGAATTACATAAGAACTAGTGCATATAGGCGAGTGAAGGTGTATATACTTGGCAAATACGTGTTACACGAACTGAGTACATATATACCAGTACCCATTCGCAGGAACCAACAGTTTACTCGCACTGTTCGTTACTCACTTTCTACAAATAGTGCCTCTGTCCGTTTCGAAGACGAAGCCATTGGCCAACCCCGTCGTCATCGACCTTTTATAAAAGAGGTACAAATATTGGACCCTACATAAGTCCCAGTAAACATTTTTTCATTTTCGAAAAAAAAAGTATGCAATTTCTTTCGGGCGGTTGGACGTCTTTTGACAAAATATAAAAAAAAATACAAAACTAATTAATAGTGTCGAAAACTAGTGTACGCTTGCCCGAGCTTGATAAAGGTGGCGGTGAAATTAATTTGTGAATTTAAAAGGATGGCTGCGAGTGATAGTACGCAAAGAAATTTCACATTTTGAGATTGGATACTGTGCAACAACTGGAAGATAATCAACAACGATTCGCTTTAAATTTCGATTGTCGATCACGCGAGTGATCTGGCTTGTGAATATATGCAAACATTGAGCAATCGATAAAATTTTGATACACGGTATAGAGTAACTTTTTTGATTTAATTATCTCTCTTTGCATTTTTAAAATATATAAAAGGAAAAACATATTTTATTTTTTCCTTTCTTTTTTTTTTACATAGCTCTATGAATTTTATCATCATTAATTAATACTAACGAAATTATTTGATTTTAAAATACTTTGAACTTTCGTTCAAATTCCTCCTTTTTCTTTGATACATACCAATCATTTTTAACATAATTTACAAAATAACGTTCTGTGATTTTACTAAAAACGACATTCAATCTTTGATCACTGCAAAATTCAATATAACAATCGTAATTCAATAAATGACTGTTGCACAAAACATTAAATTGTTGCTGAGCGTTAAATTGTAATAATTTTTTAAAATTTACTAAAATTCTTGACCAATCCTAGGTTCATTGCAATGATCGTGTGAAAATTTATTGAACAATGGAAAAATGAATTTTCTTTTCGAACTAGAAACCTACAAAAGATAATTGAGC